TGCTGAATGATTATTAATTTGGAGCTGTGACCGGAGTTTTGTGCGAATAAGTCCTTAACACATTCTCACCCGACTCCGACGAATTCGTGCTGAGCTTATGTCCGTCATGTGAGGGATATTATCAGAGCAGGACACCATGCTTTACGATAATCCACCAAAGATGAAGAGAAGAAAAATCAGCATGTATTCATCGAACTCGTGTAATTATGTGTTGAGGATTTATTCGCACAAATCTACAGTCGAAATTCCAAGGCAATCTTCTCTTGGCTTCCGATGGGGCTAACTCACGAATTCCCTCCACTCGCCCCTTCAAAAGAATTTAAAGGAATGTTAACATCAATCTATTAAGAGATTACTTAAAATATAGCTTTATTCAAATTTCTCTAGTACACGTGGCATTATTTTAGTTTTCTTTCACTTATCTTTATTACATTGTTTCTTTGTGAAATTAATACTGCCGTACTGATAGTTGTATTAATCTATTGCTTCGTCTTTCTTCAGAGCAAGAGCAGCCTTTCAGACGGACAGTTTCTGTACATTGATCTTTTTCTCACGACGACACTGGGAGTTTCATGTAAGTTACTAATACTTATCAAATTTATTTTTACTAACAAATAATTTTCTTTGAAGACAACACAGCCGGAATATTTGACATTATTCATATCTAATGTTTTTTTTAACAAGAATTTATATATGACGATTCTGGTTGCGCTCGAACTTCATATATATATTTATGATGCTGTTGATGATGATTAAATAATTTCCCTGGTCTCTCACATTTTTGCTTAATCAATTCAAATGACACTATAAATACCCCGTTTTGTGTTCATTTATATGACTTGGAAGTCTTGTATGATTTCTATAAGCTTCCGGTGGCTTTTAAAAACCTTGATTTCCTACTAACTTAATCAACTTTTACGAAGCCGCTTCCAGAACGCCATATTTATCATGGGAGATCTAAAAAAAGATTCCTTGTATCAAGAAAATTTAATAAATACCTCTGCTGGTAACACCCCTTTCCTAAAAGACTACGTTAAAAGCATGCATAACCAATTGATAGTCTTTAAACTACTCATAGTTAAAAGAATCAACTTGACAAATTAAAAAGGCACCTGGGACCATTGGACATCGAGGTACTAGTGATAGTATCTACTCCTTATATCTACGATTTGATCAGTACTATTTTGAGCTTTTGATTTTATATAGTTCCCGTCTTTCTGTTTTACTTCTTAATTTTATCTACCGTATCAGTGAATTTAACAGTTTATTGCCGGCATAACTGTCGGATATTAGAAATCCTACTCACTAGTTTTAAATCTTGAATTATCATTTCATAACTCCGTTTACCTGTTTATGTTTTACGCAAGTCATTTGTATGCTTTAAGACCAAATCCGTGCTAGTTAAGTTCTAATTTACTTTTGCTCAAATAAACAACCGTAGCTATTTTAGAGTATTTTTTAATAAATTATATTCATTTTCTGATTATAGCTTCTTGATATACATTTTTGTTCAGATAAATGTTTGCTTTTCCAGTTAGCTTGCACATTCTATAAGAGTTTAAGCAGTTTTCTTAAATGCTTACTCTCACCATTAAATTAAAAGTACTCATGCGATTTGCCTATATTTTTGTTACATTTATTCATATTTTTCATGCTTATTGCTTTCCCTTTGTTCGTGAAATTTTTGGGCCGTGACCTAGTTGGCTATACCTCTGCTTATCCACGTCTTTCGGTCGACCCACCGCGAATTCGCCTGCTGGGTGCAGTTACTCTACTATCCCTGGGTTTTCAACTTGCTATCAACATAGCCACTCAAATTGCGGCTTCTATCTTTATCCAACGTCAACCATGGTAAGCTGAAATCATTGCCTCTGAGGCTGAAGAGAAGCCGATAAAAGTTTCTTTATACCGTTTTATTTTGTCTCTCGAGATTTGCTTGAGCATTATAATGATTTTTATTTCCGAAATTTCATATTGTTTTTT